ATTAAAGATGTAAAAAAATACATACAGTGGTCAAAAAATTATAGCCAAACCACTTTTTGCCAATTTTTAACGTTTATTTTTGTTGTTATTTAACTTTTGTTGAATTTTTGTAAAAATATAGTTCATTCTTTAACAAAACCCGTGTAAATCCAAGTTTCCAAATTTGAGTAGTCCACTTGCAAAGTGCGCTATGTAATTTTTTTCGATTTTTATTTTGTGGTGAGTAACGTACTAGTTTTTAAAGTAGTTTCATGCAATTTTTTAGAAAAAGCCGTTAAAAACCGCCTAAATTTTTAACGAGTTGGTTTTGCTGACGGTGTTTTCCACATTTTACCGTATAAAAGTAAATTTCTTGTAGAATTAAATGGGAAAGACCTTTTGCAAACAAAATTAAGAAAAAATCAACGCCAATTATTATAAATTGCACCTTTTATATGAAAAAAAAACGCAAAAGCCGCCAGAGAAAAATCATTAAAAATCAAAGCGATTTTGAGCCGCTTAACACTTGCACCTCTTTTATTAGAATTACATACCCAGAATTTTTTAAAATATTCAGACACTAAAATTCAAAATTCAGATGAAAATTTGTTGAATTTTTTTAAGTTCTGGTTACGGAATGAACCATATTTTTATAAAAAAATAACAAAAAAAATTTAAGTTAAAATCGACAAATATTTAACAAAAATCAGCATGCACTCGCGTTTGATCGCCAGTGTATGTATGTATGTACATATAGAAACTTCCTTCAAGCAGCATATTAAGTATAAGTATGTTGCTATAATTATGATGTATTTTAAATATGTAAATCTTATTTATTTAAATATGAATAAACATTTTGAAATGAGTTCAGAAAAGAAGCTTTGATAATCTAGCCCCCAAAAGCCTGCTTCTATCTTGAATGATGGTTGCACCAGCTTCCGAGAACAAGCGCTCGCTTGCCACTGGTCCTCAGTATATCCAGTAAAAAAACTGTAGTGAAGTCCTTTATGGGGATAAAGTTTCCAGAGGTGAAATTTTAGGTAGCACACAATTTCTTACACGCATGGTTGCTTTTCAGCACTCATGAAAGAAACTTAAGAAATATTTGAAAAAAAAGTTCATATAGTACATTAATTTTTGAAAAAAAATAGCATATAATGTATGTACTCTGGTTAATAATATCAAAAAATGTATTAGAACCACCGTTTAATGTTATATTTGATACAAATTAATATTGCTGCCCCGAACGCTCTGCGCCGTGCCAGTGATTAATACATTAACTTAAAATTACATCCCTGGTCCTTGTTCTGTAGCATGACAGCTAAGCAAAACAAAATGTTCACACAATATTAAGTAAAAAGTTCAATATACTTTTGGCAATAACTAGGCCAAAGTACTCAAATCAATTTAGCTTGCGCTGCACTTCTCCAATAACATAAACTCGATTGAACCCATATACATTTATGTATGCATGCACAACAACGTAGAATCATAAGCATGACTAACAACTTAGAAATGTAAGTTTGTAAATTAGATTACTCATAAGGTAGATTGTAAGCATATAAAAGAACGGCGATGAGCCGAATAAAACATTCCAACTTTAAGACTCAACGTTTGCGTTTTACTTTTGGAATCATTGTGGGGCATTTTAATGCTCACCTTAATGCGGCTGAAGAGCTAAGAAAATACTAAACACCTTCCAATATTTTACATGGCGATCCTGCCAGATCAAAGCTAGATCCTGCCAGATCAAAGCTAGATCCTGCCAGCTCGAAGCTAGATCCTGCCAGCTCAAAGCTAGATCCTGCCAGCTCAAAGCTAGATCCTGCCAGCTCAAAGCTAGATCCTACCAACCCAAATCTAGACCCTGCCAACTCTATCAAGACCCTGCCAGTACATTATGGTAGAGGAATACGTTCCGGAAGGATCGAAAAACGCAGAAGAATACCCCAAATACATCCCTACAAAAATTGTAATAGGACCCAAACCAATATCCCTAGAGGAATACCGGCAAAGGCAAAACCGCCAAAAAGCTAACTTACAAGAGTTTAGGCAACGAATAAGCTGCGAACATAAACCCAAAAAACGTGGAGGTAGAAAGCGAAGGCACCAAAAAGAATGTGCAGAACTACAGCGAATAATTAACATCAGTCGCGGGCAACAAAAGAAGAAGTTGATAACCAAACTAAAAGATCTGCACAAAAATGGGTGGAACCCAGCAACAACAAGAACGCAGAACCACCAAAAGGATCATTAGGAAATTTATAGTATGAACAGGGAAACCACCTTAGAAGACGTCATAAATCCAAAAACTAGGGAAGAAGAAACAAGGAGAATGTTAGCACAAATAAGATAGCTATAACTAATAAAAATACAAAAAAAAATTTTTTTTTTATTAAATTAAAAAAACAAGAACTAATAACAAAAAGGAAAATTGTTTTTCTCATTCATTTTTTTTTTGCAACCGTAAAATATTATTAACATAAAAATGACTTGGTGGAAAATTGCACTAAACGGCATATTAATAGGAATAGCAGGATACGAAGTAGGAAAAGAAACCTCAGGTGAAAACACCTACGAAACTAAAGTAATTAAATATCAACCACATCCTATCGTAGAAAACAAGGAAGAAGTTCCCGATAAGTGGTTGACCGCTTTTGCATGCGTAGCTACATGTTTAATTGTCGCAATGGTAATCTTGATAAAAAATTACATTAAAAACAAATTGAGACAATTAAACAATGTACAACAACGCGTATAACTCTCTCAATAAAAAGAAACAACTTTCAAAAATGCCAAAAGTTTTAAACCAGAAATGAATCAATGGAAAGAAATCCATGACACGTTAACTGACGAAAAAACTAAAGCTAGTAAATCATACAAATGTATAAATAAGAGTATTCCTATAACAACGGAAACTATAGTAAAACATTTGAACATAATCTTGGAAGCCCTTAATAACATTAGACAGGTGATCAATGTAGCAAATCGCATACTTACCACAGAACACCAAAAGGAAGCTTACCAATTTTTCATTGCAGTACGAGATAAACTTGTATCTTCGTTAGCTAGACACAATATAGAAGTAACAATACCAACCACATTAGAGGAGAATCTCCAGGTTGATTTTAACTTACTTCTGTCAGAACGCGTCCGAAGCCGGACTCCATCACCCTCTTTAAGTCAAGGGGAAGACACCAAAAAAGTAAACATCCCAACCATAAACGTCACAATGGTACAAACAGTAGTCGAATTCATTAAAACCGCCTCGTCAGTACTCCCAGAGTTTGATGGGAAGCCAGAAAACTTACACAGCTTCTTAGATGCCCTCGACATACTTGATCAAATCAAGGATGAGCACGAACTTTTAGCAATAACAATGATAAAGACCAAGCTAAAAGGAACGGCAAGAAACTTCATCAGTAATGAAAACACGATTGGACAA